ATATGTACACTCTGGTTTTTGTAGTGTTTCTATAAGTGAAATTGCTCATATATAACTGATAAACAGAAGAATACCAGGATAATATGGAAGTACTGTGAATTCATACATGGTTTTTCAAAGTACATTAATGTTTTGAAGCACCAAGTTAGCAGCTGAACAAAAAGTACACTAACCGAAACTAAATGCAGTGAACCATTGAGCAATGCAATTTTGTTCGGAATGGCGATTTATCCCACATTCTTCCTTTTGGCTCCAACTGGTCACAGACTTTCCTGCAAGCACTTATTGTTTAGTTTAACCCAATCTTCATACAAAAGAAACAAACCAAAAAACCAGAACTAGCTATATATGGCAACACTTTATTTATCTGCTAATTACCTACTTTCATGTCTACAACTGAGCAGCTTCAACCCTTTAGATGCCCTCTGTCAAGTTACTTTATTTTCCTACAAAGTCCTCTGTTTGCCCTGGCTGGTGTGGCTCAGTGAAATGAGTGCCAAGAGCCTGTACACCAAAAGGTCACCAGTTCAATTCTCAGTCATGGCACATGTCTGGGTTGTGGGCCAGGTCCCCAGTTGGGGATGTGCCAGAGGGGCAATGAATCGATGTATCTCTCACACATTGATGTTTCCCTCCCTCTCTCTAAAAATTAATGTCTTTAGAAAATAAGGCCTCTGTTTACTTTAGCACTTTCTTGTTCATTAAACAATTTAAACATGTCTTTTTAACTATTGCTGGTAATTTTTGGAATTACTATTTTCCTTACTTATCTAGTTACAAAATTACATAGGTTTTGAGAATCTGCTCCTAACTCTTTAGCAAAAGCCATTTAATTTTAGTGAATGATTTTGCCAAATGAGTTTTTCAAACTTAAGTGAAATGCCCGTATCTCCAGCTTGAACATTTTTACTGAGCTCCACAACTAAATATCCAACTGCCTGTTCAACAGCTCCACTTCGATGTTCTAAAGGCATCTCAAAGTTTATACATACTACAAAGCATACTTGTGCTCTCCCTAAATCTGCTCTTCCTGTCTTCTCTATATTAGGTCACAGCACCACAATCATATGTTCACATAGAAGTCTGACAACACCCCCATCTAAGTAATATCTCATCTAGATTACTATTCTGCTATTGCCAACTAACAGGTTTCCTTATAACTATTTTTGTCCTCTCATACTTGAGCTAGAATGATCTTTTAAAAATGCGTATCTAAATTAAATAGTCTGTCTTTTGCTTTTAGTATAAAATCCAAACTCTTGTAACGCATGGTCTGGCTTCTTTCTGTCACCACAACTCTCTTACCACCTTCTCTTTTGTAGTCCTCCTTCTACCACAATGATCCTCTTCCCCCACACTAGTTTTTAAAAAATGACTAAGCTCCTTCCCAGTTCAAGATCTTCAAAAGTATTCTTCACTAAGGCTGAGCAGCTACTAGCTTCTCATTTGTCAAGTTTCAACTTTTTATCCTCAAGACATAGCTAATAATTCTTATCTAAATAGGTACCCCCTTTCTCCTAATTATTTACCCTAACAATGTTATATTAACTTGACAGTATTTTTCTCAATTATGCCATTATTTATGTGCTTACCACTACATTGTTTATCCTTTTTCACTAAGCAAAAAGTTAGTGAGGCCAAATATGTCTTTACTCTCTACTATATGCCAGTGGCTAGAACAGTGCTAGAGGATTTAAATTTAATAAATAAATGAATTAGTAGAACTCTATTTACCTAGCTAGCTAACTGCTGCTGATACTTCAGGTAGCAGTTTAGGGTCCCTTTTTCTTTTCTTTTTTTTTTGGGCGGGGGGAGAGAAATATCAATGTGTGAGAGATACATCTATCCCCTGCCTCTCAAATGCCCCCACTGGGTACTTGGTGTGCAACCCAATCATATGACCTGACCAGGAATGGAACTGGCAGCCTTTTGGTTCACAAGCCAGCACTCAATCCACTGAGCCAAGCTAGCCAGGGCAGGATCCCTTTTTCAGGGAAGCATCGCTGGGTTAAACCCCCATTTCATGCTGTCACAGAACCCTATAATCTTAATCTTCATATTAAGATTTATGTATGCACGCACACACACAAGGTCTGTCCACAAAGCATTTTTTCATGTAATATAAAAAAGAGACATTTATTGAAGAAGGTACAAGAAACAGTGTACATAGTACAATGAGGCCTCAGTTCCCTTCAAAGTTCAACACATCGCCTTCTTCAGGTGTGAAGCACCAGGTGACAACTGGGCCTTTGTTTCTGGATCATAGCTGTAGACCCAGGATTCATCTCTAGTTATGACCTTCTTGAGGAAATCTGGTTCACTGGTAGTGGTTTGAATCAAATCATTAGCAACTACAGCATGACGTTCCTTGTGCTAGGTAGCAGAAGCCATGGAACTAATTTTGCCACAACACATTTCGTGCTAAGATCCTGGGTCAAAATCTCAGATACAGTAGTTTTTGGAATCCCCTATCCAGCTTCTAGTTCTTGCACTATCAGTCACCAATCTTTGTTGACTGCAACTCATACATATTCAATATTCTCTCAGGCGTTCTGCCTATTGCAGGCATTCCAGAATGTGGATCACTTTCAACAGATTCTCAACCACTTTGAAGCATTTGTGCTACACTTTTATTTGTGCTGCACTCATTGCATTGTCCCTGAAAGCCTTCTGAATCATCCAAATAGATTCTGTGGAGGAATGTTCAAGCTTAATGCAAACACTGATGCAGATTCATAGCTCTACTTGCTCATTTTGAACGCAATCGCCACAAAGTACCCATGATCACTCAACTCTGTCTATTGCCCCCACTGACTAATAGTACAGTGAGGTCATTATTAATGCATGCTCATTCCTGTCCAATCTCCTTGGATACAAGGTTACATCGTTGCTGCACAAACATTTTTGATATATTAACAGTGGCTGTACTTTGGACAGACCTCATGTATGTATGTATACACACACACACATACACACACACACATCCTTATATCAATTTTAATGACCTCAATTTAATAAGTAATTTTATCAATTTAATAAGTAATTTTTTAAATTCTTCATCTCTTCTACTGTAAGTTCAATGCGAACAATGAACCTATTATAACAAGGACTCACAAAGTAGAATACCTGGAAGAAAGTAAATATTCAAAAACTGTTGGTTAAGCATTTATCAAAAATTTGTTGAGGTGGTTACTAGACTTATCATGGTGATCACTTTGTAAGGTATATAATGTTGAATCACTACATATTGTATACCTGAAACTAATTAAATAATGTGTGCCAACTAATTAAAATATATATTTAAAAAATAAAATCTCAAAAAATCTAGAGAGTGAATTACATCCAATTTTTTTCAAGAGTATACAATTAAATACTTTACTGAAAGGTCTTAGATTGCTTTTCTATCATCAATCAAACTTTAAATGTAAAAAAATTGTTTTGTTAAATGAATCCAAGAAGTTTAAGATTTTTTTCTCTTTATTACAGTGTTAAAAACTAAAGAATGCTCAGCTTTTCCACCAATGCAGCTTTTTATTTTTCAAAAGTTCATAAATAATGAAAACCAGTAACAAAACCTTGTTTTTGAGGGCCTTATTTCCTGAAACGCACAAGTTTTTAATCTTTTGGGTGAATAATACCAATTAACATCTGTGTGCTTACTATGTGCAAAGCACACTGATAATCACTATAATATCACATACTTCTCATAATAACCCTAACTCCATCTTATAGGAAGTTATATTGAGGCTTAAAGAGTTTACTTGAAGAATTTGATAAAATATATGAACTTTCCCCTGAAAAATACACACAAGTATACAGACACACAATTTTACTTACAACATCCGAGATTTTATGGACTTCCTAAAGTTATTTACAAACCCATAGGGTTGAGACTGTTAAATAAAAAATTCCTTACTTAGAGATATTGTCAATATCAGTGATTTTCAACTGGTGTACCTATTGCAAGAATTTTTAAAACATGCAATACCAACTAGACAGGGACATTACCTTCTTTTATCTTAGACTGTCAAATAAAAAATTGACAACAGCCAGCACAATAGCCATCCAAAATGAAGAAATAAAAATTATACCTATTTTTTTACAAAAAAAATATAATTTCAGTAATTAGTTTATGTGTGCCAAGAGATGAAAAAGGTTGAAAATCTCTGTCCTACATAAATGAGCAATGGTTCTTTCTTAATTTTTATTTTCAACCCTTAAAAGACACTTTCTAGACATTACAAATAAATTATCTAAATTTCTTTCATTCCACTTTGTATCCAGTAAAGCAGCTTTTATAAAGATACTTAAAGGTACTCTACAAAATATTTAGTTAAATTTTATAAAGCTGATAATTTGAATGCTTAGATTTTTATTATGAGACAAATGGGATTAAGATCATACTCTTCCTATAGCATAGAAGCATTTATAATTATTGGATTAGTGCATACAAAAGACCCAGCATAGATACTAAAAGATATCCGTGGGCCATTTCTCACTAAAGAAACTGTGTAATAATAGTCTACTTGCATAAGAAAGATAAATCATTTTTCTTGGTTTCCAAAAGATGATTGTTACTTATTTTGATAGTGTTCTCTTCTCAAAACCCAAAATTAATGCAAAGATATGACTTATCTTGCTTCTCATATCTACTGAAAGTGAGAACTTTGAAGACAGCATTTCAAAATGTTTATAGAAACAAAACCCAAAGATATATTAAAAGTTCATGTACACTGGCTGGGTAGCTCAGGTAGTTAGAGCACCATCCCAATATACCAAGGTTGAGGGTTTGATCTCCAGTCAGGGCACAAAAAAAGAAGCAACCCAATAAATGCATGGATGGGTGGAACAACAAAATCAATGTTTCTTTCTTTAATACATCTAATCGATGTATTAAAAAAAATTTTTTTAAGTTCAAAAAGACGTATCAGGCCAACCAGTGGGCAAAATAATGTTTCTCTAACACATGCAAGTAAAAGGCAACAAAATGACCCACTTACCAGACAAGGTCTGTAACGCCCTTTCATTGGAAGGCAGTAGCTCCTTTCTGTGAGGCCGATTTAGTGAAGTGTCCTGTGTAGAAAACAGTCCAGGGCTGTCAGTTAATTTCTTCCGGCCACTGGAGTTAGGGTTTGAAACTCTGCAGCTGCCTATTGCACTTGTGAAAAGGTTTGTATGTTCATCACTGCTGGCCGGATCAGAGCTGGGAGTGAATCCTCCAAGGGATAAACTTGGAGAAGTTTCCGAACAGTCAATCTGTAAAGGTGTCTGCAATCCCAAGGCCAATGAACTCGATTCTGAAGGCTCTCTGTGGATCCACTGTTCTTCTCTGTTTATTAAGCTTTTTGAAGGAGAAAGATGAGGGCAGGACATATGACACCGGTGCTTTTCCTTATGTTTATACCGTTCTCCAACAGTATCCTTCCCAAATCGATAGCGCTTCAAAGTCTCCAAAACTGATCTGGAAGAGCCAGTGTCCATGGAAACCTGGGGTTGCTCAGAAGAACGGTGTTCTCTATGTTTGTGACGGTGTCTGTGTTTGTGCTCAACCATCCAACCATAGGCCATTTCAGGGGGAACACTAGGGTATGTACTCATGGAAAGGAGGGGAGTCCTGCTGGTTGTAAGAAAGGCCTCCTGTCTAAGGAGCTTATGTTTTTTCTTATGGTATTTGGTAGGATTGAGAAGTAAATGACCAGCATGCATATAGGAAGGAGGTGGAAGTGGAGTAGTGAAAGAAGGAGATGGAGGAGGTGGATAAAGAGTAGGGGGATACCTTCCATAATAACCCAATCCTATCGGAGCAGCTGTAAGGGGTGAGGGAGAATAAGGCATGCCATAAGAGGGATAGAATCCAGTACTAGAAAGAGGAAAACTAAGGCTATGCATAAAGGGCATTTCAGCCATTGCCTCCCTCATCTTAGGGGGTCTTCCTCTTTTTTTTTTTAAGTCAGGCTTTCTAATGTAGTGCAAAGGGTCTAAGGGGAAAGAAGGATGTGTATAGAAACTATTAAAGTTGATTCGAAAAATAGTTGGAAGGAGGTCTCGAGGGATAAAATGATGACTTCGATGGGTAATTCGAATTTCACTTAGACGACTTATTAATTCCTCCAGATCTGCAATAAAGTCTGGATCCTGTCTATTACGGAGTTGGGGATATTTCTTTTTCCGTTTTCGTTTCTGCCTTTTCATCTTGTCATAGCCGAGGTAATCATGATTCCTGCGCTTACATTTATGCTTATGTTTTTCTTTAAGACTGCTTAGAACTGTAGAGGTTTCAGGGGAAATCAGAGAAACATGCTCAAAGGAATGCCTCCTCTTTTTTTGCCCACAAAATTTCTCTGCCCTATCTGATGTGCTGTTATTATCGGTTCCAATTCCACTATCACTGGGAATGGTCTCATCACTATGAGACTCACTGATGGGAGAAGGAGTAGCTTCTTTCAGAGATGTGAGTTCACTCAAATGTGAAGGAGAATTTGGCAACAAAGTAGGAGGAGATAATCGCCTCCTCCCCTTTGAGGCCTTCTTCATTGCAAGAGTCTGAATCATACTGCCCTGTCTGGAGTGTAAATGCAAATATGGCACTGAACTGGGTTCAACAAAGCCTGCATCACTACTTACAGGGCTCTGACCTCCACTAGTCCCAGAAGACTGAGAGCAAATAGGTGATGGAAGAATCTCAGAACTACTAGCAGATGAAGGCAGCAAAGGGGGAAGGATCTGTCCTAATGCTGACCCTGCTGCCTGCTGAGCTGTTTGCTCAAGAACAGCAAGGCTGGTAGGGCTACCGGAAAGAATGCCATTTAAGACAGTTTTTGGTTTTCGACCCCTCCTTTTTCCTATGTAAATGGTTCCTTTCTTACTGACGTTTATCTGTTGTCCCAATTTAGAGCCAAATGTGGCAGCAAGATTTGACACTGTATTATGGAGTTTGGATTGCACTTTCCCTTTATTACTTGATTCTACAGAGCTCGAAAGAATCTGATTCAACAGTTTCTTTCTCTTTAAAGTCTTCATTTTATTTATTTTGCGGATAATGGTTTTCATCAACTGTCCATTGTTTCTCTTGATAATTTTTTTATCTGGATCCATCTCAAGGTCACTCATACTACAGACAGCTGGCCTATGACTGTCATCTAGCTCATCTGGATCCTGAAGTTGATCCTCACTCTCAAAAAAATCACTACTACTTCTGTGGTTGTCACTTTCAGACTCTAGCTTGCTTGGACTTTCGGTGGCAACAAATGGAGCCACTGATAGTACAGGTGGCTTCATCTTGACTGGTGACCTCATTTGCCTCTTAGGTCTGCCTCTCTTTTTTGGAAAAGGAGACACAGACAGACTTTGTTTGAAGGAAGGAATTTCGATTTCTGGTTGCAAAATTGGGGGTTCTTGTTCTTCCTTAGACTGCAAAGAAAAAACTTTAGAGGCAGGGATTTTTAAAGTCCTCTTAGGTGGACCTTCCAGTTGAGGCATCTCTTTAGATTTAGGTCTTCCTCTTTTGGGCTTATAAATATCAGACAAAAGGTCACTAGAGACACACATACTAGAGGATAGTTTGTGAGTAGCAAAAGACTTATGAGATGGTTTTTCACTGTCAGTTAAGAGAGCAAGAGATGGAGTTGTAGATTTGCTCAGCTTTGGCAAATGGCGTTTAAGAAAGTCATGACCTACAAATGAAGATGGTCCAATGTTTTTCATAAACTTGGCTGGCTCAGAATTACTATGTGATAATGAGCTACATGAAACATTTTTAAACAGCTCTGATCTTTCTATTTCTAGTCCTTTTGGAGATCGGCATGTGCTTCTTGCCACCACTTTAGTCCACCGAGGTTTTCTTCCTTTCCTTTTTTTTAATGGTTTGGACTGCAAACTATTGCTTAGACTCTCAGCAACTTGGCAGTGTTTGTCAGAGGCAGTTATCGCACCAAGTTTTAGAAAGGGCTTGTTACTAAATAAACTAGTGAAGTTAACAACTGAAGGGGTAATTGTATGTACACTGGATTCAGAAGTCAAACTTGGCTTTTTTCCCAGAGAAGAGCTTATTCTTGTAATATCTATATGTGTAGCTTTTGAATCACTTAGCTCTTTATCAATCCCTTTACATTCAATATTCATGATATGACCCACAGGCCTATGTCCAATGTTCAAGTGGGTACTTTCAGAAGTAAATTGGTTCTTTCCACCAGATTCAGAAATTTCTTCCCTTAGTTCTGTAGTAGGACTTAAAAGTAATGAATTAGGAGCCAACTGTGGAGAAGTCTCAGGGGGACTTTTGGTTAAAGGATTAACAGATACAGTAGGTGATGGGGAAGGGAGAGTGCTTTCTCCTACTGCACTAAAAGGGGATTTAGCTATAGATGCATCAGAAGCAGTTCCCATTTGAAAGTCTGGAGAAGTGCAATATACAGGAGGTTGCTTTTCATGCTTTGAGGTTTCATATGACCCCCTTTCACTGGATGAGAAACTATCTTGCTGAATGCCTGTTCCTTCATTAAACATTTCTTTCTCCAAATGAATGATTTCTTTTCGAACTGAGAACTTTTCCAATATGCTTTCTTTACTCTGTCGTACGACATTCTTCTCAAAAGTTTTGCTGGTGGCACTGTCTTTCAGGGATTCAGAAAGTTCCTGACTTTCATGACTACTGACATTTGTACAAGAAGCTTTAAGTGATTCCTGAGTGGAGAGCAGTGCTTCCGCTTTAAGGTTTAGGGCATCTTTACTGACCAGTCCTGCCACAGGACAACTCACTAGTTTCTTTCCAATGTCCTTATTAATTAATCCCATTGTTGAATTTGCTACAATCTTCTTTGCACAGTCCTTGGCCACGAGGCCAACAGTAGAACCCAGTTTCTTTCCCAAGTCTTTATTAACCAGTCCAACCACAGTGCCAAATCCTAACTTCTTTCCAGATTCCTTATTCACTAAACCTGGAACAATACCAATTCCTAGCTTCTTTCCTGAATCTTTGCTCACCAGTCCTACTGTAGTGATAGTCCCTGGCTTTTTGCCTAAGTCTTTATTAATGAATACCGCTGTAGTGCCAGTTCCTAGTTTTTTCACAGAGTCCTTACTGACCAACCCTACTGTTGCACTGAACACTGGCTTTTTCCCAGGATCTTTAGTTATCAATCCAACTTCTGTGCTAATAGCTGGTTTTTTAATTAAGTCCTTATGTATTATTCCAGCTAGAGAGCCAACACCTGCTTTCCTGATCAAATCCTTGCTAACCAATCCTGAAGGAGAAGAGACAGTACCTAACTTCTTCAGTTTTGTCTTGGAAGACTTGGAGGGAGGACAAGTTGCAATAAGCTGTGCCAACTTTTCTGTTACACTTGTTCCTCCATTGAGTAATGTCCTGTCCTTTAAATCAGGATCCTGGCTACCAACAAGAGTAGACGATGTTGCGTTAATGTAATTTGACATTTCTGGGTGTACTGGAGAAAGCTTCTTAGACAAAGGATTGTTTTCTCCCTGTGAATGAAGATGGATGTTTTCTTCAGATTGGCATTGAATGGCTGCAATATCACCTGCTTTCTTGTACAACTTTGAAGGGTCCTAAAATTTAAACAAGAAAAAGGTTTTAGAGAGGGTAAACCTTATACCACTTCGATTTAGTATTACAGTCAAACAAACCTATGGATCACATGTCAGATACAAGATAAGCAATAGTCCTTAAAAAAAAAAATCTAACCGAACTAAAATAACTGAATCCTAAATCTAACTGAATCCTAAAATTCATGTGGAATTATTAAAGACTGTGAGTAGCCAATGAGCTCTTGAGAAAAAAAGAACAAAGTTGAAGATACCGCATTCCTGGATTTCAAAGTATATTACACTGTTATTACAATAATCAAAAAGTAGGGTACTTGCACAAAAACAGACACATAATTCAATGAAACGAAATATACAACCCAGAAACAAACCCACATGAACACGGTCAATTAATTTACAACAAAGGCAAGGGTACACAATGGAGAAATAACAGTATCCTCAACAAGTCATGTTGGACAGATACATGGGAAAAAATGAATAGATGATAGTGTAACTTTATAAAATGCTTTAGGCTTGAAAATACTAAATTTCCCTTTTGTACTCCTATAGAAATTCCTTGGTTATTTTATTTATAGCAACATTACTGAGATATAATTCACATACCATAAAACTTACCCTATAAAGCACAAATTCAATAATTTTTGGTATATTCAGAGAGCTGTGCAACTACCACCAATAATTTTAGAACATTTCATAAGGCTCCATTTAGTTTTGCATATGTATACTTCCAGACGACCTTGAGATCCATTTAAAAGTTTTTTTTTAATTCCAAGTTAATTTTTAAAAAATATTTTGTTTATTTACTTTTAGAAAGAAGGGAGGGAAAGAAGAAAAACAGGCAGAGAAACATCAATGTATGAGAGATACAATGATCCGTTGCCTCTACCGTGCTCCTAACTGGGGACCTGGCCAGCAACTCACCCATGGGCCCTGACTGGGAATTGAACCAGAAACCCTTGGGTTCACAGACTGGCACTCAGTCCACTGAGCACCAGCCAGGGCTAAAATTCCAAGTGGTGTTATCTTTGCACACTAATACAAGAAAAACAGTATCTCAACATCAACTTTAGCTCCACACTAACAAAGTAAATTTATTTACTTAGCCAAGCTTTTTGGTGTTACAGGATGTTTACAATTCTATTCATATATATCCTAAACATTCACTGTCAAGTTTATTTCTAAATATCTTACAAATACTGTTGTTATTTTTGGGAGTAATTTTTTGTTGTTTTCTAACTCTATAAACTGATGGTGTTCAAGAATACTACTGATTTTATTTACTTTATAACCTTAAATTTTTGCTCCATGAAAGAATTCATTTTTTCAGCAAATAGGTATTAAGCCCCTACTGTTTAAGTGCTAAGAATAACAACAGTGGAAAAGAATCTTTCACCATGGAAATTTCATTCTAATGCATGAGAGAGGGAGAGGCAATAAAAGATACATGAAATGTGCTATATGGAAAAGCAGGGAATGAAAAGGAGAAGAAAAAAAACAAGGGTGGGAAATGATTTGCAATATCAAAATAGGTTGCCAAGGAAGTCCTCATTGAGAAGATTACATTTACAGAAAAATGCAAAGGAGATGAAAGAGGGATCTACGTAACTGCCTGAGGGAAAAAAATACAAACAAAGGAAACAACAAGAGGTAAGGCTCAGAGGCAAGGGCCTTTGTCTGCTACATTCAAGGAATCCATGTTAACTGGAGTAATCAAGGGAAGAGCAGGTGGGCAGGAGATAGGGGGACAGAATTTTTAGTCTAAGAGATGGAAGCCACTGGAACGTTTTATTAAGAAAAGGTTGTGACCTAATTCTTCACTCAACAAGTATTGGGTGACACTGATTGTTGGAGATACAGCAAAGAACAATAAAGACAAAAATCCCTGCTCTCATGAAGCTTAGTACATGTTAGTGGGAGAAAAACACAATAAAGAAAAACAGTAAATTTTAAAAATATTTTTGCCAACTTCTGGCCAAGATGGAGGTGGAAACACTATACCTCCTCACACAACCAAAATTAAGGACAACAAAGATTTAGAAATAAAAACACAACCAGAACAGAGAGAAAACTGAACTGTTCCGAAGTCTGACAACCAATCAACCAGACCAGTAAGAGGGGCAGAATCTGTGGCCAGTGGAGAGGGGTCCTGGCAGGAAAAGGCCGTGGCTGCCAGACCCGGGAGCGCAGGTGGCACGGGGGAAGAAAGGAGCAGAGCACTTAAGGAGGTTGGGTGACTGAGGACACCCATGCTCATGCCCAGGCAAAAACATGCAGTGAGACAGACCGCAGAACCCAGGGCCCCAGCGACAGGAAATAAAGCCTAAAAGCACAAATTGAAAAGGTGCCGGGAGAGACTCCCAGCCTCACAGGAGAATTCGTTGGAGTGAACCACAGGGTCCTAGAGAGACTTCCAGCCTCACAGGAAAATTCGTTGGAGAGACCCACAGAGTCCTAGAATGTACACAGGCCCACCCAACCACAAACCAGCATCAGAAGGGCCCAATTTGCTTGTGGGAAGCGGCAAAGGGGACTGAAATCTCAGAGAGAGTGGAGCAACTGTCACTGTTCCCCCTGTGACCCCGCCCCCATATACAGCATCACGATCCAGAGATGAGGAGAGGGGTTACCCTGCCCTGGTAAACACCCAAGGCTCCACCCCTCCTTTGTAACAGTCGAGACCTGACCAAAAAATTATGGCTCAAACAGAAGTACAAATCAAAGACCCAGAGCCAATACTTTTAAGCAACCAAGACACAGCCAACCTATCAGATGCACAGTTCAAAACACTGGTGATCAGGACGTTCATAGAACTGGTTGGTTTTGGTTGCAAATTAGATGAAAAAATTAAGGCTACAGTAAGTAAAATGAAGCGAAATGCACAGGGAACCAATAGTGATGGGAAGGAAACTGGGACTCAAATCAATGGAGTGAGCCAGAAGGAAGAAACATCCAACCAGAAAAGAAAGAATGGAGACAAAAGAATTTTAAAAACCGAGGAGAGGTTTAGGAACCTGCGGGACATCTTTAAACATTCCAACATCCAAATTATAGGGGTACCAGAAGGGGAAGAGGAAGAGCAACAAGTGGAAAACTTATTTGAACAAATAATAAAGGAGAACTTCCCCAATCTGGCAAAGGAAACAGACTTCTAGGAAGTCCAGAAAACTCAGAGAGTCCCAAAGAAGGTGGACCCAAGGAGAAACACACCAAGGCATATCATAATTATACTAGCCAAGATTAAATTGAAGGAGAGAATTCTACAAGCAGCAAGAGATAAGGGGACAGTCACCTACAAAGGAGTGCCTATCAGACTGTACAGGTTAGTGGGAAACACAATAAAGAAAATTAAAAACACAATAAAGCTGATTTCTCAAATGAGACCTTGTAGGCAAGAAGGGGCTAGAAAGAAGTATTTATTCCAAGTCATGTAAGGCAAGGACCTCCATCCAAGATTGCTCTATCCAGCGAAGCTTTCATTTAGAATGGAAGGGCAGATAAAGTGCTTCTCAGATAAGGTCAAGTTCAAGGAGTTCATCACCACCAAGCCCTTATTATATGAAATGTTAAAGGGACTTATCTAAGAAAAAGAAGATAAAAAAGATGAACAGTGAAAGGACAGCAAACTCACAGTTATTAACAACCCCACCTAAAACTAAAGCAAACTAAGCAGACAGCTAGAACAGGAGTGGAGCCACAGAAATGGTGATAACATGAAGGGTTAGCAACAGGGGAGTGGGAGGAAGAGAGAGGGGGAAAAGGTACAGAGAGTAAGTAACAGAGACGGTGGGGAGAAAATAGATGGGGAGGGCAAGCGTAATGTGGGAAATGTAGAAGCTAAAGAACTTAAGACACATGGACATGAACTAAAGGGGGGAATGCGGGTGGGAGAGGGTGTGCAGGGTGGAGGGGAATGAAAGGGGGAAACGGGACAACTGTAATGGCATAATCAATAAAATATATTATAAAAAATAGAGAGACAAAATAATATATATTTTTGTTAATAGGTGGTAACTGCCATGGGAAAAACAGAGGGCAAATAAGAGTGCTAAAAGAGAAAATGCAAAACTAAGGTAGGTGTCTAGACTAGGCCTTACTGATCCAGTAACACCTGAATAGACAAGTGAGGCAGTTAACAGGAACATCAAGAATGCTAGTGTAGCCCTGGCTGGTGTGGCTCAGTGGATTGAGCGCTGGCCTGCGAACCACACAATCGCAGTTTGATTCCCAGTCAGGGCACATGCCTGGTTGCAGGCCAGTCCCCAGCAGGGGACCCATGAGAGGCAACCATACATTGATATTTCTCTCCTCTTCTTGTCTCCTTTCATTCCCCTCTAAAGATAAATTAAAAAAAAAAAAAAAAAAAGAATGCTAGTGTAGCCGGACTTAAGCAATTGGCTAGGCTAGAGTAATATGATATTCTATCAGAGAGGGCTAGTCAGATCACAGAGGGCCTTTAGGACATTAAAATGGCTTGTGCTTTTTACTCAGAATGAAATGGGGAAGCACTAAAAGTTTCTGAGCAAACAAATGACATGCTTTCACTTGCATCTTTAAATATACCCTCCATTATCAGAGGTAGCTAGGTAGTTATTCATAAAGGAAAGGAGCAAATGAAATTAGACATTAAGACTAATAAACTTGGGAGCTGAATCAGACATTAAGTCTGGTTTACTAGAAAGCCACAACATTCACAGGCTCTCCAGGGGACAATCATGTTCTCCACTGAAGGGACTTCATCCTTGACACAACCAGGAAGAATAGGCCTACTGGTCATTAGCTAAGAGGAATAAAAACGGCAGAAGAAAGTCCTTTACTAGGCACATGCACAGTGGGAACCAGAGGATGCAGCAAAAATTCAGAGCATGTATAGTAGGAGGCAAAATGACACAAAAGGGCGCACGCATTCTAGCCTGGAAAATGAGGGGAAAAGACTGGATTGGTTAGGGAGAGGGCCCAGCACAATCCTGTAAAGGATTAGAAAAGAGATGGTTTATTTTTAAAGA